GGCGGGCCCGGGGCGGGGGGAGGGGTACAGGAGCTGAAGGAGAGGGGATGGCGGCTGGGAGAGGCTGGCCGTTGCTTTTCGCTCTCGGGGTGCGGTGCCGTGCAGCTTTTTCTAGCTCTGGAGGCGAATCAGTTGTGAAAACAAGGCGGTTTCTTTCCCCTTTCGTTTTAAAGACCCTGGTTCGTGTTGTTTGGAACGTAAACCACCAGTATGTGCGCGGTGTGTGAGGCGATTCAAAAAGCTTAGTGAAGCTGCAGTTGATGTTAGAGTTTTCTGAATTTTTTTCTATGTTTAGTTTATATTATAATGAATATATGAGAGACTTATACCTTTTTTTCTATTTTTTGTAAAGATTTTTAAAGGTTGTTTTTTTTTTTTTAAGTTGCAGATTTTATAGGATTAATTTTGTAACAGTATTTTTCTGTTCTTGCTTGTTAGCTCTGACTGCGAGGGCTGCGGAGATGACTGTGCTGGAAATTGTGATCAGTTCCCTAACCTCACAGTCTGACTTTTAAACTAGATTTATAGATGTGTGGAAAAAAGGAGTGGTCATATTTCATCTCCAAGTAGTAGGTTTATAACCAATAATTATACAAAGGAACAGGTTTTTAATTGTTTCGAGTAATGGCTCATTAATTTCTATATAGGGTGTGTATAGCTAGTTTTATTTTTCATGTTAATTTGTATTGTGTATATGTGAAATGGGAGGAAGGTCTCTGATGAAGCTGCTGTTAGTGACACTTTACTGGATGGTATAATCTTGCACTAAGCTGACAGATTGGACATAAGGTTTCTGTGTCAGCTCATTTACTTATAAATCTGAAACCCCTTATTTGGGAGCTTAATGTTGTATTGTCATGGTCAGTAGCTAATTTCAAAATAAAAACTAGACTGAAACTAAAATCTGAGTAGCTGTTTAAATTTCAGACCTGAAATTGAGACTAGAAGGACTACAGGTCACTGACTTCTTTGCATCTGCAAATGATGGTGTTTCTACATGGTTTTGGGCTTCTGCTGAGAAGAAAATACTTCATGTGTCAATGTAACTGAAGAGAGAAACAAGCTCTGAGCACAACTTATACACTATTTATTACGTGAAGCAGTTATTTTTATAGTTCATGCACAAAAATTTATTAATTCTAGAAATATTAATTTCATGGCTAGAAATAGCATGAGTTTTTGGTGATGATTGTGACACTCACTGAGCTTTTAGTAAGCTGTTTATTGAATATCCAGGTAGTTTAAAATGCATATATGCCAGATGGTAATAGTTATGAGTATTACAAGTCATAGGAAGCAAGAAAACTGAAGTACAGCCTGCCCAGTGGGCCTTAAAAGTTCAGTGCATGTGTTGGTTCAAGTTGGATCTCATTCCAGCTGTTCTGAGACATAATCTACTTTTTCTAATCTGACAGCATTTCACAGTTTTTTTTTTCAATTTGTTTTATTAATAGTGAAATAAGCTTGAAATAACAACGCAGTGTTGCACAAAATAACTGCTGTGGGGAAGCTGACCTCCTTAGGAGAAGGTGATGAAATGGGTGCCTTCTGAAACCTCAGTTTGCTGGAAATGTTGAAGTTAAAATTGTCTTAGAACTGTCAGCACAGCTATGTGAAATAAAGCTTAGCTTTTTTGTGAAATTAAATTATGACAGATTTATGTTGATTAAAGAAGTGAGGCCGACTTAAAGATCAGTTCTACCTGAGAATATATACTTAAATTGCAAGAAATGGCAAAAACCAATTCACAGCATGTCGTAAGTGGTGGTGGTGAAGTCGTGAATAAGTATGTTGTGGTTCTGCAATGAAGCTTTAGAACTGAAGTGTCCTTAAAAATATTTTAAAGCAAAATGTAGTAGAAAAGACAACAATTTCTTCGGTCAAGTCTGTTTGTATATTTGAAGTCAGATCTGTTTGGGTGACAATACCGAGGGGTTTTCTGCTGGAGATGGAAAGTTTTGCTTAGCTTGACTGCTAAATCCTGAGATCATGTTTGCAAGCCTGAGACTTAAATGGGGAAGGGAAAACTCTTCTTAATTTTGGTAAATGTCATACAAAGTTGTAATAAGAATCTTGGAATGATATACTGTAACTGGTTATGTCTTGGTTTAATTGTTCTAATTTAATCCTTCAGCTTTTTTAGTGCAAGACTTCAGAGTTATAGTTTCAGCTTTCCTTTCTGTTCCAACTTGTCTGCTGTATTGAAACACTGCTTTGGGGTTTTTTGCCTTTAATCTGTAACTCCCAGTCCAGATAAACTGTCCAGTGACTTTTTCACTGTAAATGCTCTATATTAATGAGGTTGCTGTTCAAATTCTTACTGATTTAAAAACCTCACTAATTTGTTAGTGCTGGCTGTCAGAATATCACTTCTGACTACTTAAATGATCACTGTTTACAGGTGTAAACACCTGTGTGCAGCAGTGTTCAGTCTCTTAATCTTGTGAACACATTCTCTTCAAAGCTGACAACTGACTTGTTTTTTTATAACTAAGGATTTGCCGAACTTTTCAGTTAAAAAGGAGAAAAAAAAAGTGTTTATCTAGCTGAGTACCTGTTGAAACTGGCTCAGGTCAAGTTTAAATGAACGTGTCAGCTATGGAGGCTGCATTTAAATTACATTTCAGTTGCCTTTAAGAAAAGTATATATAGAACTTGGCTTCCAGAATTCTTGAAGACTATACGTATGTGAGGGGAAGGTGGAACACTAATGCCTGTCCTCAGCAAACATGGAAATACAGCTTCGAGAACAGCTGTCTCGTTCTGTGGAGGAGAATGGAACTTTGCATGCCAGGATTTTGTGGGTTGTGTTACTGGAACAAAACTGGTGCAGTTCTGTGGCATTTCTCAGTTTGCTGGGGAGGTGCAGTGCCAGGTACCTGAGCAGTTGCTGCTGCACAACTCCCCAAAATGAATTCTGTGTTTTGGCTGTGCTATATTGATTTATGCTGCTCTGTGTCTGAGCGGTTGATACCTTGCTGGCTACAGCATAATGTATTTTGAGGTACTGATGCATGTGGCTTCCAGTTCTTCTGCTTCCTAAACAGAAATCTAGAATGTTACAGTAGCACTGGCTTTCAGTACCTCCGTTCTGTTTTGTGTACATTAAATTGCTTTTCTAACTTTCAAACACAAAATTAGGCCTTGCTAGACTGTAAGAAATACCTGAATTGAAAAGACAAATTTTTAGTGCTATATGTATGCTTTTAGTACATAATTAGGTTTGATATTAAGCTGTTTATTTGTATGTACAAATGGTAGATGTGGGCTCTCCTCATTGCCTCATCTGGGTGCTGGTCTTGCAGGTGTGGAAGAGTTTGGAGTTCTGCCGTGTGTTTAAGGGCAGTAGCACCATGCAAAGGATCGTGAAATGTTTGCTTCACGTAAAGCAAACTGTGGAGCCTGTGAAGTTATGAGCAGCAGATAAAATACAGGCTGCCTAGAAATCACTTTCTTTGAAATGTTTTTCCATAGGATTGAGATAACAGTGTTAATGTTATCCAGGAGGAGAAATCTGCCCTTGCAAGACTCAAGCTTGAAAATATCTGCTTCAAATGCCAGCACAGTCCTTTTGAGGAGATTGTTATAACTGTTAGTATAATGCTTGCACTTCATTAGAATTTGTTTTGACTATGAGGCAAGGTTATGATGATCTAGATTTTTAAAGTTGGGGATGAGATAAAAGATGTTAGATACCCAAAAGTGAAGTCAGGAGGACATCATCTGTATGGCTTTGAGTCTGCAGACAGCCAATGAAGCATGTTGCTGAGATCAGCCGTTAATTTAGTGTTGGCATCTCAGTAACAGGAAATTGCTCGTGTGTGTTTGCTCTGCTTTGGGGAAGCAGTCTCAAAGCTTAGTAGTTCATTGTTCTTAATTATTTTTTAAAAAACTTGATACCCTGGTTTCTTTTACTAGTAAATAACCATGGTAGTTATGTATATGGAGTAAGTGTCCTGGTGAGCCTAGCCTTGTTACTTCAGTATGCACTTTTGTATTGAAACAGGCTATTTTAACTAGTTAGTCTTCTCAAAGTATATGTGACCACTCGTGTATTCTTAATAGTTTGGCCTGAACGGCCTTATGTGTGCTGTGCTATGCTTTCTACCATTTTCAAAATTATGGCACAAACTGACAAAGCTTTTGCGAAGTTAGGATTCTGCTTTCTGCAAAAACCTAAATTTTTTTTTTCCCCTGGTTTTCTTACAGGTAGAGCAAGTGAAATTACTGGATAGGTTCAGCACGAGCAATAAGTCACTGACGGGAACTCTGTACCTTACAGCAACTCATCTGTTATTCATAGATTCAAGCCAGAGAGAAACATGGGTAAGGATAACAAATGCTTGTGGCTCAAAGGCGTAGGTTCTTCACATGTGTTTGTTCTTCCTGATCTAAGGGTGAATTTGTTTACTAAAATGTTCATCTAAGATACAAGCTATTCACTACACTCTCCTTGTTAGTGGTATAATAAATTAATGATTTGCAGATTGTACTCTTGCATGACACTGCTGCAGTTGAAAATGTTTGCTTTTCAAGCCACTGTAATCTCTTTTATAGCCTTCACTTGTGTTCCTGAGCGAGTGTGTGGTACTTTTCTTTAATCAGCTGACATGCACCACATTTCAGAGGCAGGAGTGGGAGACTACTAGATAGTTTAAGCATCAGGTTTAAAATATCTGCACGAACTTACCTTGTATTTAGATCATGCCTAGGTTAAATTAGACAGCAAAATCCAAAGATCTGGGCTTTGGTGAAGTAGTGACAATCCCATGCTCTTTTTTAGAGTGGTAAGCAGCTGTTTCTTCTCAAATATTCATCTCTGGAATAAAAATTCAGAAGGAGCTGCAGCTTTTTGGTGACTTCTGCCAATGTTGTACAATGAAAGCTGGCTGGTACACTAATTCCCACTGGTTTTTCTGCTTAGTGCGCTGGTGGGACACATGTGGATGTCGAGTTCTGCCTTCCGCTGTAGCCCAGCTACCTGACTGAGTTCAGTGCCTCAAGTCTGCCATCCTCCGGGATGAATTCTCATTTCCCTGGGTGTGGTTAACTTTTTTCCTGTAGGTGTATTACCTGTAGGTATATTTTTCTGGATTACCCTTAATCGTGTACCCTGGTTATCTGTCTAGATGCCTCATGGTGCTTTCAAGGAAGGTTATTTTTCTGAGGTTTGTATGAATGTACAATTTTGTACAAACCAAACTGTTATCCCTTCATACAAAATGAGTTATTCGGGAGAACATGATTCAGAAGCATTACTTGCATCTCCCTGTGCACTATGTTAAAATGTTTAATTTGAGTGGAATGGAACCTGTACTCCAAGCATTGCATTTCTGTGATGATAATGCAAGCACCAAGTATAATTATGATGATGTTTCCAAGATAGTCTCTTTGTAAATGCATATTTGGCAGCATAGTTTTCAGATGCCTGTCTAATTCTGATCAATATTGAAGAGAAGATGATTGCTTCAGTGAGGTAATTGAAGTTCTGTTAAGAACATCTTTTTCAGTTGAGGTAATGTATCTGTGGCTTTCTTCTTGTGGTTGAACAGCTGTTACTTTCCATGTATTTCCCTAAATTTTGTGTGATTTGCCACACAGATAAATCTATGGAGGGCTCTTATATATTCATTACTGCGACAATCTTCTGCTGAAGTGGTTGAAAATCATTTGGCTGAGAAACTGTCACGTCTACATAACACAATGGGTTATACAGGAGACGGTTTTTCTTATGTCCTGATCATTCTGTAGATACTGGAATTCTAAAATCTTCAGCATTTTCTGTGTATCTTATACTTTGAGTTGCTTTCCATTGCTTGCTTTGTTTTGCTTGAAGATTCTGAAGTATGTTCCTGTAGATCTTTCAAAGAAAAAAGAAATCCTGTCTGGACCCTGCCTAATTAGAGGTATGCTTGTCAGTTAGCAAAGTTATAGAAGAGGAGTGAACAACCACAATGGAGTTCTAGTTCTCACTTTTGCATTTAGAAAGGTATTTACTGTTCCTTACAAGCATTAGGTAACACTTCAAAATATGACGGAAAAGCATATTTAAATTTTGACAAATTATGGTATCCTGACCGAAATGCCAGTCTTGAATTTCTTCTTCTAAATTTATTTCTTTTTAGAACTGAGTGATGAAATTAGTCAAAATCCATATTCAGCATCGCTTAATGTGTCTTATGTCTGCCTTGTAAATAGTATGCTCTTCTCATTTTTCATCGGTGTACTTACGCTGTGAGTTCTTGTGTTCCACAGATATTACATCATCACATTGCTGCAGTGGAAAAACTTCCCTTGACTACCTCTGGCTGCCCACTTGTCATCCAGTGCAAAAACTTCAGGATAGTTCATTTTGTTGTTCCCAGAGAGAGAGATTGTCATGACATTTATAACTCTTTGCTTCAGCTATCAAGAACAGGTAATATTTCTAACTGTAAAAGGCTCCAGTATATACCTGAATTACAAGTTGGTAGGGGGAAAAAAGTCCATGGCTCTTATGTATTTTTTTTAGTGTGCATTATGTGAAAGTCTTAAATTGATTTGGTATATAGAATAATTTTAATGATTAAGTATTAATTTGAATACAAACTCAGAAGGTCTGTCTGGCTTTTGTAGGTCACTGATACTCAGAATGTGATATTCATGTATTTTTTTTGTATTTCTAATGTTATCCCTGAAATTGTGAATATAAATGCGTATAGTCTCTCTTAATTGGTGTGTTCCATAGATAAAATGCTACTAAGCAAATACTGACTTGTCAGTGATTTCATGCAGTTTCAAAGATAAAGCTGAAGTTTTGATGCTAAAATAGTACTACCAATTCAGCTTTACTAAGAGACTTCTGTTGCCCTAGTGTGGTCTTCTGTGCTTTCTGCTTTGTGTTTAGAGCAATGTAAAATGTTGTGATCTGTGATATGTGACTAGTGTGTTACGAAAAACATAAAACGTTTTGAAAGCTCTTGTGCTTTAAAGGAAACATTAAAACTTACTGCTCTTAGAGGTCAATAGGTGTAAATTTCTGTTCTTACCTCTGAAACTTTTGTTCTTTTAGGTCTTGTGAAGTCTTCTAATAATTCTGCCTTTTGCCTTGTTTAATTTTGTGAGTCTTCATTGTGTGACCTATGCTTTGCCCTTACGGCTTTAGAAGTGTCCCTACTGAAGTAGGTCAAGCACACTCAAAGCTCTTATAACTTACCTTTAACTAAGTATCTATAATTGTGTCAGTTAACTGTATGATAGTTGCAGAATTAATACTTCAAGAGTGTCAAGTATCTGTTTAGTCTTGCTTCTGGGAGGCTTGAAGCCTGAAACTCTCTGCAATTTGGGCAATTTCAAGACTTGCCTACTGTGCTACCTTACTCTGCTCAGATGTTTTTGGGGACAGCTCATTACATAGTCTTATGCTTTACCTTTTAGCAAAATACGAAGAACTGTATGCCTTCTCCTATAATCCAAAACAAAATGAATCCGAGCAAGTCAAGGGTTGGCAGCTTATTGATCTGACAGAAGAATATAAAAGAATGGGAGTGCCAAATGCTAACTGGCAGTTGTCTGATGCAAATCGTGATTATAAGGTAAGTGTTGTAATGGAATCATGTTTTGCACTGCATCTGTTTCTGCTTTATCCTCTGGCTCTAGCACTATGGAAAACAGTCTAATACCATGAAATCACTTGGCTTGCAGCATAAGCAAAAACTTGCAGGTGGAGAGAGTTAACTCCTTAATCAGTGTGTGATCTCACAAAAATAAGGGAAATGTTTCAAATAAAATGCTAAGAATAATTTCAGTATTTTTACTGAAGAGTCACACTCTTGAGGTGAATGCTGTGCTTTCCAGGAGTGCTTGGTTGTATAATGTGGATACCAATTTGTACTTCTTTATCCATGGTTTGTCTCCTCCTCTGAGCTATTACCATGTCTATAGAGAAACATCTTAGTGTTTACCCTTTCTCTTCTTTGACTTGACAGCTCTCAAACTGGATGCAAGAAAACTAGTGCAGGCTTTGTGCTTTGTCCACAAGAAGAATTTTATGTATCTGTGTCTTTCAGATTTGTGAAACTTATCCTAGAGAGCTTTATGTTCCCAGAACTGCAAGCAAGCCCATAATTGTTGGTAGCTCCAAGTTCAGAAGCAAAGGAAGATTCCCAGTGTTGTCGTATTATCATAAAAATAAAGAGGTATGGTGTATCTTCCTCTTAATGCAAATGTGCTGAAAATTATTTCTCAACACTTGGCAGTAGTTCAGAGTAGGTAAGGAGGTAAGTAGAGTGAGCTCTGAGTATGGTGTAACTCACGATAGCCTTAAATACAGCTGAGACTAGTGGTGTCTAACAGGATGCTGAATTAAGCTAAGCTAGTTTAAAATAAATCCTTAAGTAATCAGCTGAATCTCTTAAAGCTTTCAGAAACTGATCTGAAGATAACTGAAGATAGCTGCTTGTCAAATCATCTGTCTTCCCTGATATATCAAGAATAAAATCTGTTAGGTCAAATGGGCATTAAACAAACAAACAAAAAACCAAAAGAACAGAACTTGTTCTGTAAGGAGGACTTTACAAGATAAAGAACTAGAGGATGAGAAGATCTTGCAGGATTTGGTAAAGACTGGTGTGAAGCAGCATTGCCTGTCTGGGCTAGGGAGTATCTTGAAGAGAGAGAGGGATTGTCACCTTGCCGAGTTGAAGAATTATGAAGGATGAGTGTTAAGCTACTCACTGAATTTGAAGATAATTACTATTTGGAAGATGCACCCAATATATTCTAAAATAGAATATATAATTGAAAATGACAGGATGAAAATTACATCAGATAATAATATATTGTACTTGCAATAATGAAATAGTACTTACAGTAATAAACTCAGCCATGATTCATTCTGTACCAAGAGAACAGCTTGCTTCATTAAAGTGTATTTTGTTTTCCAGCCTATACTTTTTCGGAATTTTTATACTTGGGGAAAGTCTATTACATAAACTGATGTCTTGCCCATGTAGATGAGCCTGAAAAAATGTTTTGATAAACATTTATATTTAAACTGTAGGTACTGTGCTTGAAGTGATGTGCTGAAAAAGCTGGAACACCTACGCTTGTTTCATTTTAGTGCTGTTCTCTGCTGAATGAAACAACTTGTTTCAGTGTTTAGAATTATGCAAAGCATTTCAACTCCAGGTATTAAACTGATGTTAACTTGTTCTTTTTTTTCCGTGGTAGGCTGCAATTTGCAGATGCAGTCAACCTCTCTCAGGTTTCAGTGCCAGGTGCCTGGAAGATGAACACATGTTGCAAGCCATCAGTAAAGCAAATCCTTCAAATCGCTACATGTATGTCATGGACACCAGGCCAAAGGTACCTATTTCAGGTTCTACAGACTAGCCTCTCTTCCTGAGCGTTAGAGTACAGGGATACAGTGTAATTCTGGAAGATTTGGAGTTAAATATGACTCCATCTTGGGCAAAAATGTCCTTTAAAAGTAAGGCTAGACCTCTTCGTTCAGGCTTTTAGTTGTTTGCTTTGTTAAGGAAGTTGAACCCCTCTCAGGACTTGGCTAGAATTCACCGAATAAGCTAGTGAACTTTTGAGCAGGTGCATTTAGAAATATAGCTAAAATGTAGTTAAGAAGTGAATAAGTTGAGTGGGATCCAAGTCACTGCCACTGTTTGAAATTAATTTAATGAAGTGGTGTTGGGATTTCTTTTGGAATGGGAGGGACGACTGTGTGTTCTGTGTGAACTGCTAGTGCTGTCTATCTTAGCCACGAAGAAGCAGGGGTAATTCTGTTGTAGCATTCTGAGATCATACTTCATCACTGTCTGAGTTATGTTTGGTTTTTGACCTGTGTTGGGTTGCGTGGAGTGACTTTCACTCTTTAGACCATCTGTGTTTAAATTGGTATTCATTTCACTCATCTCAACACAGGAGCTGGAAAACAAGGATGTAAAGTGAAAGTCCTATGCTGTAGGATCTGCACATTGAGCAGGGTTCAGCCACAGGGTTTTTTTGTATTAGTAATTTTTACAGCTGCAGCAACTTATTAGCTGCTTTGCCTGCAAAATTGACATTTTGAGGATGCTTTGAAAGCACACATATGGTTAAGTCCGCATCTTACTCTTTCCTTTTTAGATTAATTGCTTTGTAGTGTCTTTGCTCAGAAATGTTTGGAAATAACTAAAGGTTTGTTGGTGGGAATATGGAGGCGAGAAGAGGAAACTATTAAATGCATTATTAGGATATGTCAGCTCTAAGTATAGACTGCCTGTTGCTGTTTAGGTACCATGCCTTTCTTACACTTGAACACTCTCAAGTTGATTTGCCACAAACTGTTAACTTATTAGAATGTTTATAGTATATGCTTTTCTGTGTGGGTTCCCCCTCCTGCCCCGCCCTGTTTGTTCCATTGAAATTGCATGATTTTGGTTTCTTAATTTGAGATTTTTATTTCAAGTACTGGTTTTCAGTACTTTTATTTTGCTCTCTTAAGCTTAATGCGATGGCAAACAGAGCTGCTGGGAAGGGCTATGAAAATGAAGACAACTACTCTAACATTAGGTTCCAGTTTGTTGGCATTGAAAATATTCATGTGATGAGATCCAGCTTACAAAAACTTCTGGAAGGTATGTTCTCACAGTATTATAATAGTGTGCATGAAAATGAGATAAATATTTTTCTGAAGTCTTTTATAATAGCTTACACAAGCTGTGATATTTCTGTATTTTATCCCAGCTCTGTTTAGTACCAGTTTGCTGTCCTCTGTGGTAATGAATTACCTGAAACCTTTAAACTGTAAACCAAATGAATGGAGTTATTTTGAAGAAAATTAAGAGTGGCACATACATCTTGGGTGAACTTGCTTAGTGTGTCAGTCAGTGGCTTATGGGAAAGACTTCTGTGTTTTGCAAGTATACGTGCGTGTATACACGTGTGTAATATAAATGCACAAAATAGTGTGTGTCTGTACGTACATTTTCATATATAGAATACTGGTTCTTCGAAGAGCACTTAGTTCCGTGGAATTTACAATAAGCATACGGTCTGCATGAAACTTGAGCTCTTTGCCCTGGTGAGCCAATTCTGTGCTTGTAAGTGCTTCTTAGTGTTTGTAGAGAGGGGGGCAGGGGGAAAAGTGAACCACTTCACCATACCACTGCCCATGACATGGTGATGAAAATGGAGAGTCGGAGGTCTATTAAATAGTTTTGTTAATATTTTATTTAGGTAAACAGCTGAAAACAAATTTAAGACGCTTTGTGGAGTATGAATTCTGAGATTAGAGTACAGTGGCAGAGTTCAGGCTTCCACATCTGACAAATGGTACATATGTAAGTGCTTCCCTTCTAGAATTATGCAAATATTTCCAGCCATAGAGGAGGCTTACACTTCTTTGGAAGCCTGTTTTGATACAGATTTTCTGGCTGCGTTGGTAAAGAAATCTTACGTACTAGTGGTATAGTCTTACTTCACTCTCTTTGAGCCTGTGTCTGCTGATAACCTGTTCTTTAGGCACTCTGTAGGGAATACTGCTGAGCTCTAATAATATGTATTTTTGTGGTTATTCCTGATGATGATGATGAGCCTGAACTTCAGTTTTTAAGTTTGGCATAATCCATCTTTCTTGCTAATCTCTGCAGTTCCAAAAAAACTAGCTAATCTCAATTTATTTTTGTGTAATAATATCTGATGCAGAAGTGTGGGCATCACACAATTAAACTTCACAGGCTTCATGTTCCTTCCATTTGACCTAGCATCCTATTGACAGTAATTACCAAATATCTTTCTGTACTTTTCATTAAGGATGGTACATGTTTTAGTTTTATTCTTGTGGCAGATTGGTTTAAATGAACTCAACTAAAACAAAATGATGAGTAGTATCTATAGTTGTTCTCTAGATCAGGTTTTGGGGTAAATGAACACAGTTGTTCTACCTCTGTTCAGTTTGTATAATTTGCTAGAGCTTTGCTGAATGCTGGTCTAGAAGTGGAAGCATTTTTAGGGGTGGGAAGGACCTTTAAAATTCAGGGAGGTATGCAATAATTTACTCTTCAGACCACTGTAGGAATGTGCCATCAATGGGGTGATTGGGAAGGAAATGTTACGAAAATGGTTCAGAGCTTAAAATGAGGAAAATGCCATTTAACTTCTGTGTACCAGCTTCCCCTGGATGTGCTGAACTGAACATTCTCAAATCAGGAATGTGATATCAATGACCCTGTTCGTTCAAGCGCCATGGTAACTGAGACTGTTCTCGGTTTTGTTTATAATAAAAAAATGTTATTAATTTTTCAGCATGTGTGCTACTCCTAGGCTCTTTGTCTGCCTCATTTCCTTCAGAATCTAATAGTTCCATTTGCAAGCAGAATGGAAGACATAATCCTCCCCAACATTCTTTTGTAATGGGACTACACCATGGAGTGTGCTAGGGGGATTTACAGTCTATTCTTCATCTCTGATTCAGTGGTTTTTTAAATATCTTGCATGTAGTAACCCAAAACTTCTCTAAAATTGTTCTCTTAATGGTGTGGATGTGAGTCCCCTGATGGGCAGACTGCCCATCTATGAAACACTAATGAAACAATCTGCACACAGACTAAGTTTGTGGCTGTGGTATTAAATGTAAAGTCCAGTTCTTATATATTAACAAATATAATATTACATGTGAGAAGATAGAACAGTGTTTCTGCAGGAAATATTTGAGGAAAAAGCTCAATAAGCTGCTCTAGTCTGCTGCATATATTTTGATGATGGGAACTGTGCTAACTAGAGGTGTTTGTGGGTTATGTGGAGTGTCTGTTTGGGGGGTGGAGTGATTTTGTTTTGTTTGTTTAAAAACAACCTCTGCCCCCAACCCACCATGCTTCAGTCTGCAGGTTCTGGTCAGCTCTTGAACTACTGCTGGAGGCATTGCTAGTAGTATGTATAAGGACCATCTAGCAATGGAACATGGGGATTTTGGGACTCACATGCATGCAGGGCTTGCATTTTTATGATGGCATTCATATAGTCAAAACTATCTTGAAGGATAGTTATTGTGGAGTAGCTAAAGATCTTCATGGTACCATAAATCATCTTTGACTCTTCTAGGGCTGTAGGGGACTAGAAATTGTTTTGACACACATGCTAAAAAAATTATGTTGATGCAATTTCTTTTTTTCATCACTATGTAGTATAAAAATGTCTGTGCTAATTCACAGAAATGGGAAGTAATTTTTTGGGCCCAACATACGTGTTCCTATCTCTGCCTCAGTCTAGAAAAATAGAAGGTCTAGCTAGAAGGGGGAAATACTAGTGGTGAAATATTTCCACCAAGCTGAAAACTGCTGTCAAAATCTGCTTTTGATCAGAACACCTCAGTGAAAACAAACTGAGGGCTGTAAGCCTGCTTATTTCGTATCTGAAAGCTTGTGCTTTTAAACCATAAGCTACAGAATGCAGGGGGGAGCAGCCATGAATAGTGCCTCTAGACATTGCCTTGTCTGTCCAGTCCTTCCCTGCAGATGTTTGAATTTCCAGATACCACTGGTGCAGAGAGAGTGTGAGCTAGATGAAAGGATCAGGTAGTTCTCATCTGATTTTCTCCACATGCTAGACCTTTCAGAAGCGGAACTCTTGCCTAATGATGCTGTCCCTTTCAAATACCAGGGAAAATCAGCATAGCTTCTGCTGCTTTTACTGGTATTTGCAGGCTAACCTTTAAAATTAGGTCTTGTATCCAGGGTTTTCTTGATGTTTTGTTACCTGGTTGTGCTATGGTTTGCTAGATAGTTTTGTAGATGACAAAGATCTGTGGGCTTTAGAAATAGTCCTGTAATACTTACATGGAAACCTGTCTTTGTTACAGTATTCAGCAGCAACTGGCACTATGACTCTGCTGGTGCGATGGGGAGTATATCAAAATTTGTATGGCTGAAAGCTGAGAAACATGTCGTGCAGGTACAGGAAAGCACTGCAAGGCAGTGATTTAGGAGTTTATAGCTTTCATTACATCAGAGGATTTGACCGAATGTGAAACTGCGTCAGGGGATGACCTGGTGAATTTTATTCTCTACTTTCCTTACTGACTCACTTTCTCCCATAGTTGGAGATAAAGATTATTTTGCAGCTGCTGTATTAATATATCTACTGATAGCTTTTGGCTGCAGAGCCTTTTTATTTTCATTTGGGGCCCACTAGCATAGAATCATAGAATCATTTACGTTGGAAAAGACTTTTTAAGATTGAGTTCAGCCATTAAGCTTGGTAGAAAGTAGGCTTCTGCTGTGGCAGGGGCAGGCATTTTTGTAGATGACAACCTTGGGTATTTCTCTTAATCCCACATAGCTGAAGCTATATTAGCCAGTGAATATTTCTTTTCTTATTGCCAGAAGTTTGTTTGGACAGCAGTGTAACTGTGTGAGTTGCTACTCAAAATCATACAAGAACAAGGCTATCTGTCCCATTTGTGTGTTGGTGTCCGTGTGAGAAACTTTCAGTCTACCTCTACACCTCTTGCTGCTACACTGCAAGGCATCTTTCATTTAACTTGTTCTTCCCTGCCCCCTCAGTTGGCATTATTGTTATAGGATCAAAGTATACTAGGGAAAAATGGCAGAGATCAGTCAGGATTGTAGTAGTCAAGTCTGGAGGCAGAGAAAATCTCAGTGTTTTTCAGTTCATCACCATGTCCTTGCACTGCACTCAGTTTATTCTCCTAAGCAGGGTGGAGAAGGTGATGAAATTCTGGTAGTCTGACCACTGAATTGTGTATATTGTCTGGATGCAGCTACTTCTTACTAGTAGTTGTAACTTGTAAGTATTTCTGGTAAGCTTTTGGCATTTGCATTGCCTTCCTAGGTAAGGCTCCTTGTTGGGGATAACCAGTGTATTTATTTTGAATGTTATTTTATCAAAAAGACACAAAGATTTTACTCTTGTCATTCATGGTTACTGTGGTTCTACAGAGTGGAATTCTAGATGGAGAATATTCTGTGGTCCCCCTCTTAACCATTTGAGTGGTGATTTCCTGAAAGTTTTCTAATCACCTTGCAACTTAAGGCATTAGAGAGAATATGCAATTATTCTTCTTGCTCCACTGCAGGATATAGGTAGCTGCAACTGCTTAAGGCTTTCTAACTCTTGGTTTCTTGCAGTCAGTGGCACGAAGGGTTTGTCTGTCAATGACTTTTTGTCTGGTTTGGAGAATTCTGGATGGCTGCGTCACATCAAAGCTGTGCTGGATGCTGCTGTCTTCCTCGTCAAGGTAATTTGTATGCTGCTGCTTTATTTGATGGGAGGTTGACTTGCTGCCAGGCAAAATTATACTTAGTAGCATGTAACGTAAAAATTCTGCGATTAACCTGTTTGGAGGTGGATGCTTAGTATACGCTGATCCATCTGATATACTGTTTTAAGTATTACATGTTTCTTTATGATCGGAAATGTTAGATATGCCAGCTAATGTTTTGGGATTTTTTGAATCGTGTTTGGTCACCTTAATGGGAGATGAAGCGATTCTTACACTCCCCCTTTTTAGGTATTTATGAAAGGAATAACCAGTTTGGAGGTTGATGGAGCAAACTATTATTTAGTGTACCCTGAAATACAGAACTCCTGGGGTACTAATTGCAGAGACGCCAAATTGGCTATGCTGACTTCATTTGGCAAGGAAATGGGACTCTCTAGAATGAATACAGAGGAAAAATTGCTTTTGCCAGGCACCTATGAAGTCAAGGCCTTGACCGGAGTGGGGCTGGCTGAAGAAAAAACCTGGATCTTTGTTTTCACTAGGTGAAACAACAGGAGTTACTTTAGTTAAATGGGTGATTCTCCTAACGATGAACATAAAAAAATAACTGGGCTAACAGGATTTGAATTCTTAGCTGAAGCTGATAAGCATTTCCTAGTCCTTAACTTTTGTGTAGTCTAATGATGAACAAGTGGGTATCTTTAATGATGTGTTTGTTTTGTTTTGGTTTTTTAACCTGTTTGGTCTGTAATGTGTAGCCTGCTTTCTTAGTATGCATTGTAAGCGGGTTTTATAAGCTTAGTTTTATAAGATGTAGAAAGAACTGAGAACCACTGTAGATGCTCTTGTTACCTTGTGCAAAGGTAGTTGTGGATTTTTTTTTTTTCTTCGTAAGGAGTTTTCTGTACTTCATGGAGAGAAATTCCTAATTTTCTAATAGTATCAAATCCTTTCCTCATAATAAACAGTTTTCTGGCTTTGTTAAATAAAGTGGTCTATACTGTGAGTTTGGAATAAATGTGACTTTTGTATTTATTTACTAAATTTTGACTTCTGTCTAGAATAGAACATCACTGAGAAACAACTGTGTTTTGCAGGCAATAGCAGTTGAGAGTGCAAGTGTATTAGTGCACTGCTCAGATGGCTGGGATAGGACTTCCCAAGTTTGTTCTCTTGGAGCTCTCTTACTAGATTCCTATTATAGAACAATCAAAGGATTCATGGTAAGCAAGATGTTGCATTGTTGAGTTTTCCTTGGTAAATAAAGGATGTAAAATGTTTGAGTATGAAAGGGAGCAGTGTAGACATACTGATGCTTTTAGTTGTAGTTAGAAATATAAGGTTTGCAGTATACTGATGAATCTTTCTTTTAGAACTAATTTGATACTGGGAAACAAATTTTAAAATCTAAAAAAATGAAATACAAATGGTGGATTGTTCCAGGCACCCTGCAGAAATGTTGCAATGATTGCCTTTTGCATTTAAAAAAGCCCCTTATCTATGACATAAAAGTTTCCAAAGTGCTTATGTGAGATAGCAGATGTATTAAATTATAGCAGCTCTGTGCTCTTATCACTTGTCCCAAAACCAACATTATTAAAACTTAAAAATGACAACTCCCCCAGTGACAGAGACCTGAAGATATTTAATCAGTCTAAATTTCTTCACCTTTTATAGCGAGGAAGAGGAATTTCAGTATAATTATTCCAAATTTTAGAGTAGGAAAATCAACAGCATTCTGCAGTGGCAACACAAGATATTATGGGAACTCCTGAAAGATAGTACATAAAACTAATTCTTTGTATTGCTTAGAACTAGCTGCCACAAATACTACAAGCAACGAAAGTGAAGTTGAGGGCGAATTGGAAGAGGAGTAATTTCTTTTGAATAGTGAGAATGCGTGTAATCTTCAGGGAAGTCATTTAATCTTTTAGTTTTTCATTCCTTGCTGTCAGTTAAATTTCTGGGACAACTTCTGCAATGGGCAGTCAGTCCAGCGTTCCTTTTGGTGCTTGATACACTTTGACTGAATTGATAAAACAAGCTAGTGTTAAGAAACTTACTGCTATAAAATGTTACAAATACTATATTGTGTAGTTTTAAACTATGATAGCAGGAATTCAATACTAAAATTTTTCCTAGGCAAGGCAGTCTGTAGCAAGTTGGTTGATAATCTACTTGTGAAGTCATACAACGCTAGTATTCTTGGAGTGAGCCTGGCTTAACAGCTGTTATCTGATTGTCAACTTGCTAAACTTTTTTACTAGTTTTAGAAATGTGCTTTGAGAGTCTCTTGTGAAAGACTTCCAAGAAAATAAAGGAACTACAAAGTGACAAATAGTTGCTCCTACTGTAGCTTCTTTGACTCAATTCTAAAATACAATATATCATTAACCAGTGGGATTAATACTATAGATGTAAGATGGAGTAACATTTTACATGAGACTTTGATTTTTCACCCTCTAGGTCTTGATAGAGAAAGACTGGATCTCTTTTGGGCACAAGTTCTCTGACAGGTAGTTCACTCTTCCAATACAGTAAAATGTATACAGTGACCTGAACTAAGTGTTCTTAAACAAAAGACAACTTGTGGATGTTAAACTACTGCAGCATTGCTAGAAATTTTGCAGTGATAAGCTATTTTCAGTAGACAATGTACTTTGCTATTTATTCAAATACCTATTTGTGTTACAGACGTAAACTTCTAGTGCTCACTAGTGCCTCGCTCTCAGGTGTCGATGACTGCAGCTAGATCTGCACATATGCATAGACAGTGCAAAACCAATCTAAAGCTATGTTCCAGCTATTTAGGCAATATAAAACACTTAGTTTTGATATCTTTAAAAATAAGTTTACATTTAAGTTTATTTTTAGTGATGAAGTCATGCCTGCCTTTGTCCTATATGTTCTGAGTTTTGGTTTTTCCCTTGATCTGCCTATCGTCAGCTATGACAACAGCCTTGCTGCTATTTACTGCTTATTAATTTACTTTTAGGTGGTATATTCCAAAGGTGGACTATGGAAGTAGTAGACACAGAGGAACTTAACTGCCTTATGTTGGTCTTCTGTACTGAATACAGATGTGTGATTACTTACAAGTCAGAAAAATAGGTTAAATATAGACTTATTTCTATTCAAAAATTGCCCCAGTTCTGAAAGTTAGGTGCTTAGTCTCTAACCCAAAGCTAGTGTTGAATTAATATGCTGTCCCTTAAAAACAAGGGGAAAGAAAATGTTTTTATTTCTAACTTAAACTGGTTTCAGTCTGTTTATGGAATCTTTTTCAGGTGTTGTCAGTTGGATGGTGATCCAAAAGAGATCTCACCAGTCTTCACCCAGTTTTTAGAAAGTGTGTGGAATTTGACTGAGCAGTTTCCACAAGCCTTTGAGTACAATGAAGCTTTCCTTCTTCAGATTCATGAACACGTCCATTCCTGCCAGTTTGGTAACTTCCTTGGAAACTGCCAAAAAGAGCGAGAAGAGCTAAAGTAAGCACACATATTGTAATTAGTCTTGTGTTTATTCTGGCAGACTAAGAACTCCTGTGAATCTTCTTCATTTTAGGTTCCAAACAGGAATAGAAACAGGATTGGTAGTACTGAAAGTAGTATTGAACTGCATCAGAGAACAACAGTCTTTCTTGTGCTTTTGCACGCTGAAGACAGTATTTCTAACCCTGGGAGAAAATCTCATGTGCATTTTTCATAGGAAAAATTAAAGTTAAGGCTTCTTTCTTCCTCCCTGCACAGTCCCCCCCCCTTTTCTTTATTTCCTAAAAATAGGTAAGCTGTTTTTAGGTAGCCTTAAAAGTCTTGCCTACTCAAGACTAATTCCCATCAGAAGTATTGATAGGATGTCTCCTAATGCTTTCAGTTGGAAAACTGCTGTAAAGTTTCCATTGATTAATCTTTGTCTCAAACTGTGTTTTAAAAACACTTATTGCAGCTAGGCAGAACTTGTACAGCATAAGCAGTAGCACTTCTAAAACTGACAGTTCTATCCAACATTAGCATATGCCAGGAAGAGGTTGATTTTACTAAGAGCTTATAATTCAAGACTTACAAGTATTTCTGGTAACTTTTAAAAAAAGTTAAGATTGGTTTATTATGTTGAGTTTATAGCTTCTGTGTTTTCCTTGCAGTCAGTGTCTTGACCTTAATCTCTTGTTGCCTTCAGATTAAAAGAGAAGACATATTCCTTGTGGCCGTTCCTTCTGGATGAACAAAAAAAATACCGAAATCCTCTGTATAATCCAGACTTTTTGCCAGAACTGGCTGTTTTGGAGCCTAATACAATATCATTCAATTTTAAGTAAGTTTAAATTCTATAGTGTGTGTCTTCTCAATTTTGTCTTTATTCTGCGTAGTTAAAACTGTCTGCTTCATGCAGGTTTTGGAGAAATATGTACCATCAGTTTGATCGAAGTATGCATCCTAGGCAATCTGTGCTCAATCTTATAATGAACATGAGTGAACAAAATAAACAACTGGAGGAAGACATTAAAGAACTGGAAGCTGTAAGTATTACAAAATGACTGTGTGTACTTCTGACTTGTTCTTCAAATTCACATTTATAGTGTGTAATAATGCTGCTAGCTTTCACATGAATGTCACTACTGTATGGCCTAGCACTTATTCTGTATAATGCTGACTTTGACTTTCACTGTATGCTTCTGTGCTGAATGCCAGACTGCAGCCAATGTTCTGCTCTTAGGCACAATTTATTATGTTTTACTGAGGAACCGTGTTACTTAAAAGTGCTCCTACTATCAAAGCATTTCTGAAGATGGCTTAATGTAGGTTAAATTTATGTGAAAATTATCTTGGATAACAAGTGTTTTGGTTTGGACTGGATAAACGCCAGGTGCCCACCAAAACTGTTCTATCACTGCCCCTCCTCAGCTGGACAGGGGAGAGGAAATCTGATGAAAGGCTCGAGGTTTAAGATACGGACAGGGAGAGATCACTCACCAAGTACTGTCATGGACAAAACAGACTGAACTTGGGGAGAAAAGGAAGTTTAATTCATCACCAATCAAATCAGAGTAAGATAGTGAGAAAATAAATCCAGATCTTAAAACACCTCCCCCCCACCCCTCCCTTCTTCCCGGGCTCAGCTTCACTCCTGTTTCTCTCCCTCCTCCCCCCAAGCGGCGCAGGGGGATGGGGAATGGGGGCTGCAGTCAGTTCATCACACCTTGTCTCTGCTGCTCCTTCCTCCTCAGGGGGAGGACTCCTCACACGCTGCCCCTGCTCCAATGTGAGGTCCCTGCCACGGGCTGCAGCTCTTCATGAACTGCCCCAGCATGGGTCCCCCCCACAGGGTCACAAGCCCTGCCAGCAAACCTGCTCCAGCGTGGGCTCCTCTATCCATGGGTCCACAGGTCCTGGCAGGAGCCTGCTCTGGCGTGGGGTCCCTTCTACGGGGTACAGGTGGAGATCTACTCCACTGTGGACCTCCATGGACTGCAGGGGAACAAGCTGCCTCACCATGGTCTTCAGTACAAGTTGCAAGGAAAGACTCTCTGCTCTGACATTTCAAGAACCTCCTCCTCCTCCCTCTTCACTGACCTTGGTGTCTGCAGAGTTGTTTCTTTCACATCGTCTCACTCCTCTCTGTCAACTGCTGTTTTTTCTCCTCACTTTCTTAAATGTGTTATCACAGAGGCACTACCACCGTCCCTGATGGGCTCGGCCTTGGCCAGTGGCAGGTCTGTCTTAGAGCCAGCTAGCACTGGCTTTATCAGACATGGGAGAAGCCTCTGGCAGCTTCTCACAGAAGCCATCCCTATAGCCCCCCTGCTACCAAAACCTTGCCACACAAACCCATAACAGCAAGGTACCCATCATAGCTACAGCTGTGTTCCTAAACCAAGGAGACTGAAAATGTTTTATTTTCATTATAGCTACTAAAATGGAAGCAGTAAGTATTGTCCTGCTTTTGACTTCCTATGCAGTGCATGCTGTTGTAAGTCACCATAATTATGGGGCATATGCACTGTAATGCTCATTTGAAGACAGGGCTAAAACCAGGGTTCAGATTTCTATAAATAAATTCTACTAGGTGGTAAACATCCAGGGAAGACTGAACAGTGTATCTCACTTTATTCTAGTATGACTTAATCAGTGGCTTTTAGTTGATACTTCATTATAGTCAGTTAATGGGCTAAAACTTCACAATAATACCTTTTAAGAAATGTAAAAGTTTTCTCATTGTTAGTTTTACTTCTTTGTGTGGCTAGAAATGGTAACACAACTCCTATATGTTATGTTGGGGGAGAAGCGGGAAGTACGGCTTTCTAAGAGGAAAGATTTTATTAAACTGATCCTACTGTAATGTAATGAATGCAGGTCACTTAATTTTAAACTGTTTCAGATCTTACTTGTTGTACAACTGAAACAGCAAGATGAAGACTCCAGATGAAACAAGCTGAAAAATAAGCAAGATGTGAAGTCTCAGTTTTGAATTTTCTAGAACCTTGTTCCAAGGTGTTAACTTCACCTGAGCCCACACTTCTCACTTGAGTGGAGAAGAGATGTAATTATTTGAAATCTTGGTGGAGACTTTCCTACTGCTGTTTCCATCTTCAAAAAGTTGGTGTCAAGAGACACCGAAGTCTTCTGGTCTCAGTCTCAGCTCTAATAGAACACAAGCACATCAACAAAAAAAAAATCAGCTCAGTTAACTAGCCCAAGCTCACAGTTACTGGGTGAGATTGTTTGACTTTTAAAAAAAAAAAAAAAACCCCCAAACAAACAAAAAAAACCCCTCAAAAAAACAAAACAAAAAAACCCCCACAAAAAACTGAAAAATTAATCAAAATCTTTCATTTGCTCTTGCTCAGTGCTTGCAGGATAGGTCCTTTCCTCTAGTCCCACTTTCTAGTTGGCAGCTTTTAGTCTGTTCCTGCATTTGAACAAACTGTAATGTCATCTTTCAGATCTGCAGGAAAAGTCTTTTAGAAGGTTTTTAGTAAGGACATAAAAGGGGTTAGGTATGAAACTGCTCTTTGTCTTTAAGAGACTCGTGGTCTACTGCAAGTTCTCTGCTTGTTAAAAGCACCAAGGCCTCTCTTCCTCTGCCTGTACTCCAGAAAGTATTCCGATCTTGATAGCAACCAAATGAGGGGCAAGCGTGGAAGAATCTCTCCTTCTCTACGGACATTGACAGTCAAACTTTCTGCCTTCTGCTGAGCTGCAATTTTTATGTTTGTAGCATCTGCTGCAAACTGTGTGGAAAAATGTCTTATCCAATGGCCTAACGTTTAATGATACTGTTATGTATCTAACCTAGGATACAGGGTTCTGTGGATGCTAATCTGGCCAGCAAAAGAAGTGGATTCACTTCCTTTCAAAGCAGAATACTATTAGTAAAGCAGTCATGCTCACTGTTAGCAACTATTCTCTATTTCAGAAAATAAAGCGGAGAAGTGGGCAGTCAGGTGCAGTCCTGGTGAAGGAACATCAGCAGTCTGTTCACCCTGCACCCGTGGCGCTGAAGACCCCTCCGTGCTTCAAGAAGGAGCAGCACCTGATCCCTGCGACTGATGCTGTAAGAACTGTAGAGGGCAGCAACGCAGCAGACAATCGCTACAGCGAATTTGTGGAAGAGCTCTCCAAAGCTGAGCCTGCTGTTGTCAGCTTGGAGTACGGAGTGGCCAGGATGACCTGCTGATTAAAATCAGGCACTGTGTTCCTCTTCTAGACTGCTTGAATTAAGAGATGGGTTAGTTTGAGGATGGGTCTGTGCTGCATGACCAAAACATGATTTGTATATTGGCAAGTTTTGTTAACGTAGACTAGAACAGCATGCTAGTTGTCAAGTGTTTGCTGTTCTTTTAAGAAAAAAAAGTATAGTTGTGTTTTAAAAGAAATAGGGGCATTTGGTTAGTGGTGACTAAAAATCAAGGAATGGTATGGCTTTGGACTTAAGTCAGTTTGCACTAAAATGATTAAAACAGTAATATTACTTTATTTGGTGTAGGAAAACACAGGTGGTTTTTCATGGATTGATTTTATTTGGGCAAGAAAACTTGAACTTTCTATTTTAGGAACCGAAGCTACATGTATATATCGCGTGTGATATGAATATGTATACACTTGTCTAATGTCACCCAGTACTAACTTCCAGTGTATGAAGTGCCATGGAAAAGTATGATGTATTTAGAGTCATACATAGTTGGCCTTAAACCTGTCAGATCAATGACATTGTTGTCTTTTACTACTGCAGTCTCCCTGGCTCTGTTTACATTGTATTTGCTCAAATTGTTGTTTCCTTAAAACAGGACTGAATATAAGGAATGAAGCATGCCTAAGCTGGCACAGCCTTTTGGCAAATAGCTATATGAATGTTAGCTTAATACTCAAGACTGTTCTTTCTTCCGGTTATTCTGTTTAAACTGTAATAGATGGGCCTAATTTTCTTCCCTGGCAGCTCAGTAGATTGAGCATCATTGAAGCTACAGGTTGCGTCTGACCTTAAATGTTTTGGTTTGTGACAAGGTATTTAAGTGTACAGTAAAAAGAGTAAAACATATCATGTAAGAAAACAAGCTTAGCCAATGATTGAATTGTCAAGTTCATTCAAATTGTTTACTGTGGGCTGTGCTGTTGTCCAAGTTGCAAGAATGGAAGCAGAAGTTTTGGAAGTGTAGCCTGCTGACATTGTTCCCAAGTACGAAAAGTCATTCATGAAGCTCATGAGAAGCTGAGTGCCTCCTAAACCTTTCATTAGAAGAAAACCTTAGGTTTTAGTGAAACCACCTTCTCATCTTGTAAAAACTTATTCAACCTGTGCATATTTTAAGTAATTTCAGTACAGTCTGGAGATTTTTATGTAACTAAAGAGGACAAAAACTTCTTCTAGTAGGATGCAGTGAAGATCATGGGGACATAAGAAAAAAGGGGAAAACTGACAGGTTTGCAAGCTTAATCATGTATCTGTAACCTGCTAATAAGGGAGAAGGTTTTTGCCGAAGTCTGTCTCTTGATGTGTTTTCTGAGCAGATAACAGAATAGGAATGAAAAATGCTGGTTCCCAGTTCTTAAGCAGAGATATAACTTACAACTTTGGGTATTAAGATCCATAGGTATGATGCTGATTAATGCTACTGACCTTTATCACTGAATCAAAATAATTTTTGGTTACAGTGAAGATGAGTTTATTCTCGTCCTAATCCCTGAAGTCTGTTTTGTTAAAATCACTGCTGTGCCACACACAATTTGACATAATTGGCAGCATTTCCCTCTGTGCCATATTGGATCCAGGGCTCTATTAACAAGGCCAGTATAGGTCATGATCAAGTTGCACTTGTGAAGCTGTCTGGGCAAAATGAACTGCGACTCCTGTATTTGAGTAGTAATTCGCCCATTTCACTGCTTTGCTTTTTAAAAGCCTATAGGTATAAACAAAGGCTCATAAGTATTTTTATTCCCAAAGATATGAGCATAGTGTCATCTTTAAAATACATTTTCCAGTCATTTAAGCATGTCTAGAATTTCCCCATTAGAGATCTTGATAGTTTCACGTTTGCACAGTGGTGCCTTACAGGGTTGCAGCAAGAGATGTTTTGTGCCTTGTTGTTTACTGTCTCCCCTTCTCCCTCACCTTCTGTATCAGCTTGGTTCTGTGGTTTTTTTTTGGAACAACATGTTGTATATTAAGCTTGTGTTGTATCACAGTAGTGGCAAATTTAACACTTACCTGTATTGTTAGTGATATCAATTTGTACTTGTTTATTTTAATGTTTAGCTGCTCTGGTGTGCAATGTACACTTTCATATTTATTGTTTATAGACTCAAAAGATTATATTAAGCTTTTTTGCAAAAAAATATTGTTGTATGTTGTTTTTACTTTAACCATCTGAGTAAACCTGTATACAAGGCTTGTAAAGAGAAGATCTGTTCCTTTTCAGTACTGTTCAAGTGAGTTTATTTCAGGTCCTTTTTGTTGGCGGAGTTCAATGCTTTGCAAAAGGAATCAAGATGCCTTTTTATTTTAAATCAAGGTAGGCATGTTAGGTCGGCTTTAAAATGCTGTGAAACTATCTGCTGAAGCACAGAACCTGTTTCTTCATCAAAAAATACAGTGCTTCCTGCTCTGAAGTAAATACTTTACTCCAGGTAGTATGCAAATAGAGCTTTATAAGGCTGTTTTGTAGAGCAGCCTTCTTATGAAGTCCGGATAGCTCTGCCAACTCAGCCCCCAGGGTCAGCAGTGAGAAAACTTCCTGCAGCGAGGCAGCTGTCTCTTCTCACTTGCTGTTTAGGATTAAGCCAAAACTACCTAAAGCACATGGGACCTGCGGTGAAGTAAATAGATGGTGGTGAAGGGAGCTCCAGCAGAAAGCTTGGCAGGACGGCCAGGACTCAGCACAGTGGGCTGTTCTGTGTCCTTCAAGAAGGGTTTAAAAAAACATCAAGCTAGTTGACTAAAAAAACTGTGGCAGAAGCCTTCTGGGAGCAGAAAGAATTTTAGTTCTTATTTTAGTGGATGAGCTTTTCTTCATCATGAGCATGCCGCTTCAAGAGCGGTCACAATACTGAAAGGTGCCTGGTACAGCTCAAAATAATGCGCAGAACTCTTTGAGCTGCGGCATTAACATGTGGTTGGTGCACTCACCAGTTGCTTGGGAATACAACATTCCGGATAGAAAGTTGCTATGTGCTCCATTGGTTGTGAGACTCTGGCACCCATCAGTTCTGTGCTTTGTCTTGAGGTCTCGGTAAGGTCTTTGGGTTTCTAAGTTTTGTGCTGTGCTTGATGTTTTTCCAATCGGAGTGCTAGAGAAGTAATTCCTTTTAGTTAACCAAGCTGACAGTCTCACCTGAGCAAAAACTCATTTCACTTTGTACTCCAGGCTATTTAAAATCTTTATTTCACTAGTATGAAACATGTTTGGCTTATTTTGGGGAGGCTTGCTATTGTTAGAATTTATTCTTCAATACAAGTTTAAATATCCAACTGTTCTGTTTTATGGGATGACTGCCAAATCAACAGACTAAGAAATTAATTAAGCAACACTGCACTGAGCCTGTGCATTTTCCATGCATGTCCGATTACTAGTGACCTAAATCTAGGGCAAAAGCCTGAAGTCTGGAGAGTCCATTTAGAGAATTGGAACAGCAGTTCTTCCATAAAACCGCACATCCCTATGTGGAACAAATACCCTAACGTAATGTTGTTTTAGAGGGAAAGCTATTGGAAATGAAACTGTGACAATTTGTGTCTCTTCCTCAGGATAAGCATGCTGGAGAATGCCTTGCTGGGAAAGGTGATGTGTTCTTCCTCTGTAGCTGTTCTTTTCCTAAGGCCTTTTGATAGAGTAACGTGTCCGCAAATCTCTGAGAACTTGTTACTCCTGTTCTGGTAAACAAAGTACATAACTGGATGTGCAGCTGGGCTGAAGTGGGGCCGGAGTTGCTTGGCTTAACTCCTATCCTCTTAAGGAAGTGATGTATGTAATATAAAGAAATTCGATGTGAAAGTAGCACAGGGCACGTGCAGTCGACATTTGTTCTTCAGAGTCCTGCCCTGCTCTTCAGCAAGTGTGGCTAGCACGAGGGCCTCGCGTAAGCATGCTGATTGCTTGCTAGTTAAAGATAATCTGATTTCAAACTAGATTGTCTCTCCACAGTGGTAATTTAGTTCTTTAGTTCAAAACCTCAAGGTTGCTTTTAAGACTCCTGTTTTATTGCTAGTAGTTCTAAACCCGTAGCTGATCGTAGACTTAAGTGTACTGGCTGTTAAACCTACATTAACCTGTAAGATTAGGTCTTCAGGCTGAAGTTTGCTTTGACCTGCTTTCACGATATATGCCACACTTTCTTCCAAGTGACGCTTACTGTAGTGCTTGATACCTGTCTTTCAGATCTAACAGGCTTCTTCATGCTTTGGATGTTTCAAAATCCTGGAAGTACTGCAGTTTTCTTCCACTATTCTGAAGGTTCAGATTAGTGAACAGCAGGGGTGAGCTTATGTTTGAACTAGTTAGCTTGACCTGCCTACGTGTTAAATAGCATTGAAAGTCAGCGTGGTGCCATGATTCAGTGGTGCAACCTCTGTACGCACAATAGAATTAAGGAAAAGGATGTAGTCGGGGACCCTCGTTGCAGCATGTCGCAAGGAACAGGACCCTGCCGGGGTATGGCTCATAGAAAGTGGGTGCTGTAGAGCTGTGCTGATGTCCAGCAGCAGCTCAGGGACTTGCGGTGGAAGGTCAGAGTTGTGCTGCTTCTGAGATCAGTTTCCAGGTCTCCGAGAATTCAATGACCTGGTCTATTAAACACTTGTAGCTGGGCAATTCTGCACTGGCATCAAGCAACAGAAAATACATATATGGATCCATGTTTCTTACTCTACTGGCTTCAACTAATAAATGTCCTGGTGGTGACTTTGAAATTGGGGTGCAATATTTTGTTTATTCTTGTTTATAGTTTAACTCTTGAGGTCAGCTGTATACTGTTTATAATGAAGTGGGATTATAGTTTTTGACACATACTGTAAAAGTCTTTCCTATCTTAATGACAAAAATGAGCATGTACATATCTTGTGCTTTGTATCTCCACATACATTTCTGCTGAACGCTTTTTCTGCCAGTAGGCAGCCTTGGTGAAGTCCCCTGCTGCCCCACCAAGGTGTTCCTCATTACTTAGCATTACAGATTGGTTTCCTTG